TTCCTTCCTACTCCCTCCTGCCTACCTCTTTTTCTTTTTTCACTTCCTTTTCAGCTCTTAATTCTTGGGTTCTTAGGAAAACTTCCCTCTTTCTCATCATTCTGTTTGGGAGCCAGAACATAATCCTAATTATAGCTGATAAACCTAGCAATAGTGCTTATGGGTCTCTTTTATCAAGGAAAAAGGAAAGCGGAGGCTGTAAAATGAACAGGTCCCACTAACATCTGAATCCTCAGAAGGGATCAGGGGCCCAGGAGTCCCTCCCGTTCAATCCCATGTGCCTGCATTCAAGATTCTTGTCTGTTTTATTCACTGCCATATCACCAACATTTAAAACAGCACCTGGCATATAGAAGGAGCTCTATTAATATTTGTTGAAGGAATGAATAAATATTCCCGATGAATAAGCAAATCTGGCTTACTCCTTTTTACTGTATCTCAATTTTGCCTCGTGAGTGTTGCAGTGATGCTAATTTTCATCGAAAAAGCATAATTTTTGACTTTTTGGGATAATTTCAGCGTAACACAGGATCTTTCTAGCACAAAAATAATTATTTTCTAAATTTCAACCTTCAAACTGACAGACTTTTAGAAACTAACCTGATGGTTAGTTGGGGACTCTCTGTGCTTTTCCTTTCCGTGTTTCAAGAGTTTATCTTTTATATACATAAAGTTAAAAAACAAGAAAATGACCAGCTTTTACCTATCTTAACTTCTCAAGTGCTCTTTGCATCCTCTCCAAAATAGAAGCCAAGACCATTAACTACAGTGGAGAAAACATATTTGGAAAGCTAAAAACGATAAGCACCTGGCAAATGTCTTACTGGATGTTTTCTCTGTTTGCCGAGTCTCTTTTGCATTATAAATCTTTGATAACAGAGACAGGGAAATATTCTCTGTATAGAACTAAGTAAGCACAGAAAAAAATGTTGGGTTTGTTTAATATTTTTCAGAACTTTGCCCTTTCTTGTGAGCCTTCTCAAGAGAGGAGAGATTGTTCCTCTGACATTATTCTTGTGTGAGAACCTTCTGCGGGTAAAAGAATGATCACTTACTACTTTCCATTCCAGAACCCTAAGATTTCCTAAATATCTCACAAATCTCTGTGATCTTAAAGAAGTGCTTTCACTACAGTGCAGAGGAGCAGTTAACGTGAATTAAAACCCGGCCTGCATTAAGACAGCCCAGTGGATCAGTGGATATATAATATCAGAGATTAGTAGACCTTGGTTAATTCCTGAGGATGTGTCACAGCATCCCACATTAAGCTTAACGTTATGTTCCTGGCTGATTTCAGCAGCAGTGGTCATAAGAGGAGGGCAGATATTTAATATTCAGTTCATTAACAACATGAAATATGAGAAGCTACAGGTAAGCAAGGAGCATGGACTAGCATTGCAGGCTCTTAGACTGAATCCCGGCACTGCCTCTAGCTAATTGTGTGACCAGGAATAAAATAGGTGACATCTCAGCCTTAGTTTGCCCTTCTGTAAAATCAGAATAATGATGCCTGTTTAGAAGGACTGTTGCGAAGAATAGAGCTACCAGGTGTAAAGCCTCGCACCTAGCTGGTGGTATTTCCTAGCTGACGAGTTGTGATCACTGTAGTCACTTGATTTCTTTCCATTTCTCACCTAGGTACCTTGGGATCACGAGGCCGCTAACGTACCCTGTGAGGCAGAATGGGAAATGCATGGCGAAAATGATTCTCTCTGTCTGGCTCCTTTCTGCCTCCATCACTTTACCACCACTCTTTGGCTGGGCTCAGAACGTGAATGATGACAAGGTGTGCCTGATCAGCCAGGATTTTGGCTACACGATTTACTCTACCGCAGTGGCATTTTATATCCCCATGTCCGTCATGCTTTTCATGTACTACCAGATTTACAAGGCTGCCAGGAAGAGCGCCGCCAAACACAAATTCCCTGGCTTTCCGCGCCTCCGGGAGCCAGGCAGCATCATCTCCCTGAACGGCATGGTGAAGCTCCAGAAGGAGGTAGAAGAGTGTGCCAACCTTTCGAGACTTCTCAAACACGAAAGGAAAAACATCTCCATCTTTAAGAGGGAACAGAAAGCAGCCACCACCTTGGGGATCATCGTCGGGGCCTTTACTGTGTGCTGGCTGCCATTTTTCCTCCTCTCAACAGCCAGACCCTTCATCTGTGGCACTGCCTGCAGCTGCATCCCACTATGGGTGGAGAGGACATTTCTGTGGCTAGGCTATGCAAACTCTCTCATTAACCCTTTTATATATGCCTTCTTTAACCGGGACCTGAGGACCACCTATCGCAGCCTGCTCCAGTGCCAGTACCGGAATATCAACCGGAAGCTCTCAGCTGCAGGCATGCATGAGGCCCTGAAGCTTGCCGAGAGGCCTGAGAGACCCGAGCTTGTGCTGTAAGGTCATTTATCACTATTTTTCTTTTATCCTCCCAGCCCTTTTATCGAACTCCTTGAAGTGTATCTCAGAAGGCTTCCTGAATCAGTATACAGCTTATTTTCTACGAAACATATCAGATTTGAATTCAGAATTCTATAGATTCCAGTCCTCTACGCAACAGAATTCTGAAAGCCAAAGATAAGTAATTAGCTGATTTGGAAGACTGATTTGCTGATGAACTGCAATTGATATGCTTGATGACAAAGAAGGTGATGTTTCCCATCCTTTCTCCATTAATAACATCTAAATTATGTCCTTCTATTCCCAATTATAACATTATAATTTTCATTGCTATTACTCTTACATCCCGTAAAACTTTTTTGATGACCTCATCCTCTACTGATAAATAAAGGAAGCAAATTCACCGAGGCTGAAAGCTGCAGAGCTTTTAGAAAGTGCTGTCTGCCTTGTTAGGAGTTGAGAACTGGTAGAAAGTTGTTGAGTTTGTCTAGGAGGCATTAGTGACTTTCCAGGAAGTAATTGCAATAGGGTGGTGGGTTCTGAAAAAAGACTGTGAAGGGCCAGTGGTGATAAGGAAATAGACCCTTCCCATGTAACCCCATGTTAATGAATTTGGCGTTGTAAAGAAGGAAAGAGACAGCATAGCACTTAGAGCTGTCAGCAGGTCACATGAAGATTTTGCTTTAAATTTGAGGAAGAGGACACATCTTCATGTTCGAAAGCTGAGGGGAAAGGCACTGGAATGAGAAAATGGATGATGCCAATGAGAGAGAGCAGTCTAGTGTTGGATGTGTGAGAGGGGGAGGCATTCCTCTTCACTAGACCTGGCAGGAAGGAACAGACCAGCGAACCAGGGACCACTGTAGCTGAGAGGGACCTTTCCAGTCATCTTGTCCAGGCCCTTTATTTGACAGAAGAAGTAACAGTGAGCTTATGGCACCATGAGGTCTAGATCCCACATCATGCGAATCTTACTGCTCCCTGCTTTTCATATATCAGACTCCTTTATGTGTAATAAAGGTGGCAAAGGACACCTTTGTGCTCCGAGCTATCTCAGAGGAACAGCCTTGCTCAGGGAGGGTACCGAAGTGCCCTCATGGATTATAATAGACTGCAGAGGTTCCACACGTGGGATACTCCCTAGTCTCTAACATGACTAGAATAAAGCAGGTAGAAACATCTCATAATCGGAATGTGGGAAACCAGAGATCATCATTTCTTGTCTTGAAGTTGTGAGACTACAGCTATGCTAGTTCTTGAACTTGGGTGTAGCTTCACAGGTATTGATTTTCACATCTATTATGTATACTCTTTTGTACATATGGAACTTCTCACAATAAAAATGTTTAAATTTTTTTTAAAGAATATAATTTTTGGCTCTAGAATATGCACCGTGACCGACCTATATCCCCAGGGATATTTCCAGGACTATAAAATTATTATTGTTTGCACTAGTGTTTGCTCACCAGATTCTAAATTTCTTCAGGGAAGAAGTTATGTCTTAGATTTCTATTTGCAGATCTAATACAGTGCCCGACAGATAATAGGTGAGAAAAGTAATAATGGCTAATAGTTATTGAACACCTCCTGTCACATGCTATATACCATTCTACCTGTAAAGTAGGTGTTTCTAGCATCCCCAATTTTCAGAAAAATAACTGAAGCTCAGGAACATAAAGTAACTTACCTTAGGTCACATAGTCCTTAAGTGGTAGATGTGGTATGCATCACCCCAGTGCAACATTATTTGTCAAATGACTTAATTCTGTAGTCAGTGAAGAGCTATTGAATGTTTTTGAGCTGGGAATTATAGCCATCAGCTCTCTAAAAAGACCATTAGAAAAACCTGTTAATAGAAGTACGTTAAATTTATTAGACTTACTGCTGTATGGGAAGACACCTTGACAGAGTCCTGGTAGTTTCTTAGACGAAGTAAGGAAAGGATATTCACAGAGCTTTAGGGCTTGTGCTGGGTGATGTGACGGTGGGGAACTGTTGAGGACCGGGCATAGTTTATGACATAATAGCTTCGGATTGGCAGGTGTACCTAAGTGAGGGCCTTAGAGCCAGTATTAATGAGCAAACTTATTAGTCTTGATAAGTAAGCTATCCTGGTTGGTGCACAGTCTTATCTTTTGGAAGCAGCTATTTCCTAGGACAAGTAGCTGGGTTATTTGGCCTAGTCCCAGAGTTGTTTAGCACAGGAACAGGAAAGCATGTTGGTTTCAGTTCTCAGGAGTAACATGTTGAGGGATGTGTTTGAGGAAAGTCTGGCAGCAGTGCAATGGGCAATTAAAATAGAAAGACTGGTGGCAGAGGGTCCAGTTAAGTAGCCAATGTAGAAAATAGGAAGGAACAAAGGAGATCCTGAACTAGAAAACACCACTGTGTTTGTATGCCTCTTACACAAAGAACTTGAGAATATTTTCGTTGATTTTTTTTTAGCTAATAATTCACACATAATGAAGGTAGTTAACAAAATGCAAATTTTTCAAATGTCACACAAGTAGAATTTTCAGTTTAAAATAAAAATAACCTATATTTATTGAAGATTCACTCTCAGGCACTATGCTGAGATTCTGTGTGAATTATATCACTTAATCCTTAAAACTTTATGAGAAGTTGAGTTTCTTCATTTCTGTTCTGAATATGACAAAACAAAGGGCTTGGGGAGGTCAAATAATTTTTCCAAAGTCATACATGGAGAGAGTGTTAGAGCTGGATTTGAACCTGGGAAATTTGTGCTTAGAATTGCTTTTAACTTTGTGCTACTGTGGCTTTTATAAAAGTAATCAGCTAACATAATGTCCAAGGATATTTACCTCTGTGTCTTTAGCTAGTGCGGATGCTTGGGTATTGTTTTCCAGTTAGTTTAAGACAGGGGTCAGCAAACTTTTAAACTGTGAAGGGCCAGATAGTAAATATTTTAGGCTTTGATAGCCATAGGTCTCTATTGGAACTACTCATCTCTGCCTTTGTAGTGGGAAAGCAGTCATAGATACAAGTAATTAAATGAATATGATGATATACCAATAAAACTTTATTTATAAAAATAATTGGCTAGCTAGATTTTGCCCACAGGTCATAGTTTGCTATCCCTTGGTCTAAGAAAATGACTGTCCTCTCATTGCATCTTTCTCTGTTTGAATTTATAATTATTGATTTTATTTACAGTTATAGAATATTGAAGTCCTTTGGGATGATCAGCCTAATTAGCCATTAACTTTAAGAAATTTCTAATGAGAGAGTTGGAATATGCTATTTAAAAAATTCTATACCAGTAAGCTTTCTAGTCAGTTCCAATGTAGAAAGATTCCTTTTTAAATTCTGTTTATAATTGTGCCATGCATTGAGGAGGATACGGAAGTTATATGCTTCTTTCCTGTCTTGGTGCATATATTTCTCTTGGGCAGGCTGTATACAAACACACATATGTGCACTCACCCCTTTTAAAATAAGGACAAAGGAAAGATGGAGACAGGGGTCAAAGGAAAGGAAAGTAACTCAGGGCTTACCCTAACCCCGGTCAAGGAAGACTTCTTTGAAGGATATGGGCTCGAGTATGTCTGTGAAGGTGGTCAAAGCATTTATAACTAAAGGAGAGTAGAAATGGCTTCTCTGGTAAAGGGGACATTTCATGTAGAGCAGGGATCCCCAACCCCCGGGCCATGGACCAGATCGATATGGGTCCATGGACTGTTAGGAGGTAAGTGGCGGGTAAGCAAGCAAAACTTCACCTGTATTTGCAGCTGCTCCCCAGCGCTAGCATCACCACCTCAGCTCCAACTCAGATCATCAGGCATTAGATTCTCATAAGAACACTGGTCCCTGGTGCCAAAAAGGTTGGAGACCACTGACGAAGAGGCACCAGTGTAGGACCTTATACAAAGGACAGTCTGGCTGAATCCCAGTGCTGGTGTGGAGGAAGATTTGGGAGATCACATGGAAAGGAAGAATGAAATTAAATTGTGTAGGGTCTTCCTTTCCAGCCTCAAGAATTTGGGATTTTGGTGTAGACAAGTGGTTTTCAACCATGAGTGATTGTGTCCCCAGGGGATATTTGACAATGTCTGGAGGCATATGTGGTTGTCACGCCTGGAGGAGGGGAGGACCTAGTGGCATCCAGTGGGTAGGGACTGGGGATGCTGCTACCCGTCCTGTGTTACACAGGCAGCCCCATGGCAAGGAGTTACCTGGCCCTAATTCCTGTGATGTTAAGGTTGAGAGACTCTAGTGTGGACAGTAGTCATCCACCGAATCTGCAAATGGGAGAATGGAATTAGCAAAGCAATGAAGACCGATTCAGTGGCACCATGTAGGATGAATCAGAAAGTAGAGGCTGGAAGTAGAGTCTTTTCAATGCCTGTTTTCTCCAGAAACATTTGAGGGCTACTGTACAAGGCTTGGTGCCAGGCATGGCAGGGAATGGAAAGATGAATAACTGATAGTTCTTGCCTTAGGAATCTTATGGTCCAGCGGGCTGGGATGGCAGTAGACTTGGTGGGGTGATGGCTAGTAAAAGGCCACCAAAATACCCCATACACTCAACACTCTGCACAGTTGCATTCAAGTAAACACCAGCTGGATAACTCATAACTCTACTGGAGTCTCTGAAAGAATAGACATGGTGTCCAATGCATAACTCACAGCAAACCTTCTTAGAACCCTTTGTTCCCCTACCCATATCTCTAGCACTTATACTTCTTGGGCCAGCCTAGGGACTGAGGGCTCTTCCCACTAATCTCTCTAGCCCTTTTTTACCCCTCTGGCTGCTTGGGTTCTCATCTCTTTTACTTTTGCCCCTCACTCTGCCTTCTTGGCTCTATTTTTTCTCCTACATAATAGTTTTCTTCCTTTCCTGTGTAAACAGTCTACTAGCCTGTGTATTGCTGCTTCCAGATATTTACCCACTTCTCATTTTTTTGGATCAGCATAACAAAAGGCTCAGGCATCCAGCAGGCACTGGGAATCTTCCTGGGGATGAGGGAAAAGGCCATGAATACTTCATTGGTGATTTTAATTCACTATTCTATAATCTTTGTCCCTTTTTCACAAGTATTCAAATACCAGTAATATAAAACTAAATGTGATAATGTGGTATAAGCAGGGATTTTTTTCTTTTTGTCGACTTTATGGATTTTTTTTTTGAATTGCCATAAATTGCTTTTAAGTGTCAGGTTTTGACGACTTTTGTTCTTTGACACCATTATTGTGAACAATATTGAAAAGCGATTTCTAAACTACCATATAAAAGACTTTCATGAAATTGTTTTGAAGTAGCTCTGCCTTTCCCTCTCCCTTCTTCTCTTTGGTGATGTATTATATTTCTCTTCAAAGAACCTCTTATAACCTCTGTTGATTGCAGTGGTTAGTCACAGCGGAACTAGTCACAGAAACCTTGGGTTCCTGCTATGAATTCTGTCATGCTGCTCCAGGGTTTGCGCTGAGGCTTTGGAGTTTGGGGTGATTCTACCTTTTTTTTTATTTTTTATTTTTTTAGGGAAATCAGTGATTAGAAAAATAAAATGAAATGAGTCTCAGTAGAAACTGGAAAAGAAGCATCAAGGCCCCTGAAACCCTGGGTATCCGTTGTAGGATGTTGCCTTAAAGAAAGAAAAAAAAGTTTGCTATTTCGTGAATTCCCCGCCCTGCCACAGTAGTATTTTTCTCATCCTTAACTAGCTAGAATCCAGCACTTTATTTTTTGTTAGATCACCTTTAGTAATAATAATAGCTTTTTGGTTTCATGCTTAACAGTTGCCTACGCTTTAACTTTGCAACATCTCTTTAAAGTAGGAAAGACAGGCAATTGACCTTCCTTGCTGTCTCTAAATTATTTTTCCTTAGGAGATAGTAAATACACGTAGCACAAAGTAAAATGAAGCAGTACAGATGGTTATAGAAGAAAAAGAAGTCTTGGGGAAATGTCTTAGGAAGAAAATAGCCATGGTAGAAATCATGAAAGACGTGATAATTGGGGTGGATCTTAAATAAAGAGTAGGATTTTAACAAGACGGGATGGCAGGGTGGAGGTGGGTTTGAGGCTACTCAAAGGAGAGGTGAGGGTACGGGCAGAGGTGCACAGGTATGGATGGAGGTAGATAAGGAACCTGGGACATGTCTTCAGCAGCACCCGAAGCTGGGTAGATTGAGATCGTTACAAAGGGCTGGGTAGGCAGTGTGGGTGGGGGGAGAGATGAAAGCTTCTGAGCAGGAGTGAGACCAGGACTCCACTGTAAATAGGGGTTCACAATGGAGAAGGGAAGTGGGTTAGGAGACCAACGTAAAAGTGAGGTCTCCTGTCAGGAGGGCCCACCCGGGGAGAGTGGTATTGAGACTAGAAGAGACCAAGGGTGTCTGGACACTTGGAAGTTGGCTAGCAGGTGGGTGATGAGGAAAGAGAGACTTCCGAGGTGGCCCTGAGGCTCTAGGCCTGGAGGGGTTCAGTAGCGTTCACGAGTTTCTGAGAGCTGTGATCAAAATGCAGTCTCTCCTCCATGCTGAGAAGAGGCCCCTGCGAGGAATAAGTGTGGAGCACCATCGCGGATACAGCCTATTTTCACTGCCTGCTCACAGATGCCCAGGTGCCTGGAGCTGTGGTTCTGAGCTGAAACATGGCCTCAGTCTTGTTCTGGGTCATCACCGTGTGAGATGAGGGACAAAGTGAGAGGTGGTGTATTGTGGAGAAACTCATCCTGTCACTGGGAAACCCCGTTTGTGGAATCTTGGTAGCCAAGTGAGAAGGGCACTTTCAATGGGACGAGAAAGCAGAGGCTAAGGGCGCAGTGCCAGGCCCTGGCACCTCACAGACCTAGCTCTCAAGAATAAGGACGTAGTTTGGTAAGTCAAGTCCTGTGAGAGTTCAGAGTTAGGGGAGTGTGGTTCTAGAGGGGAAGTGACTCTACACCAAGGAGAAAGAGACTTCCTCAGCAGCCGGTTAAGACTTCTCCGTGACTCATGCCCCTTCTGTGAATCTGGGATGAAGGAAGTGAGAGTGGAGTGAGGTTTCCGGTCTCCGCGCTTACGGCTTACGAGAATGCCCCTCCCAGATTTGAAGAGAACACTTTTTTATTAGTAATCATCATTTTTCTTTTCAGGTCGGGCAGGTGCAATAGTATTTGGCAGGGAATTTTGAGAGTGGAACCATTTTTGGCTATAGCTGTATTATGAAAGTGAATTTGCAAGTATATTAAGGCTGTGGCAATTTGTAAAAGTTATAAAATCTATGAAAAGAGCCACAGCACTTTTTCTTTCCCTTTAGAGGTGCTCATAACTTAGAATCCACAAGTGATTCATATTACTGAATGCTGTCAAAATTAAATCCACCCACCACAAAACAAACATGTTTACAGTTCTGCTAAATTATTTTCTTGTCTTCTCTCTCTCTCTCTAGACAAAACTCTGACTACTGTAGAAAAAAAAGTCATGATTCATGATCAAAAGCGAAATCGTGGAGACAAAAGAAACAAGGCAAGACAGAGGTGGAAACAGAACGAAATCATTTGCTGAGACTATGGAATGCGGCTTCCGTCCTTTCTTGGGATGGCTCAAACATGACAAGCAGGGTGATCTGTTGTGCAAAGTATATTACGAGGAAGATGGTGACTTCTCTTTTTTCTCTGTGGATCAGTGCTGTTGTGCAAAAGAACATAGCTCTCAGTTTAAGACAGCCAGATCAGTTCGGCAGTAAGTGCGCGGGACAGAGCTGAGTTCCAGAAAGGAAACAGTTTCTGGTGCTTCACGTATGTCCAAGTCACGCACGTGGAAGCAAATTCCAATGCACACTTCCCATGCTTCTGAGTCTAGGTGTTGTGGTGAATATTCAGGAATCATTTGTGAGACAGAATTAATTTTGTTGTAGGACCGAGGAGTGTTTTTCCAAGCTAACTGTGGTAAGCATAGTGTTGAATATGTTGCATGTCCGTGTTAGAAAACAGAATCCCGTCATCAGTTCATACAAATGATTTCCTAGAGCAGTGTCTGTTTCAAGCTTCTGTCAAACAGTTTGGCTTTTCTGCAGGGTCCCTGTGACTTTCCCACCAATGTACTTTCTTTGTTAAGTCGCTTATTATGGTATAACTCAGGAATAGAAGATCTCAGGATGGAGAGAACCATAAAATCTGAATAAAGCTTTTTTTTTTTTTTTTTTTGGGCTCATACTTCTTCTGAGGGGTCCTGAGAGGTGAGGGGGATTCTTTCCGTGAGGGCTTTTACCAGGATGAAGAGCTAGTGCTACCTAACCACATCATACATTAATATGGTAGTTGGCACCGAACTTTTGACTCTCATTACACAGGGGTGCAATGGGCCCACGAGCTGGTCCATAACTGTGTGTTTTTTTGGGAGGAAGTAGGGGAATAATGGGGTTTCCATGAAAGGTTGTGATGCTTCTACAAGTGGAGCATCAATAGGTTAATTCTCACTGAGCAGCATTGTGTTCAACTGAATTGTGTGACCCGGAGGTCACCTGGGCCCGCTACTGGTAAATGCTCCAGAATACCCTTCTGTTCCTTCGGAAGGACTTGTTTTTGTGTTCTCTGTATCTAAAAATGAAATGTGTGCCTGGCCAATTCTGTCGTCCTCCCATCTCCCTCCTCAAAGTGGTAAGCATTAAGGGCAGACAAACAGAAGAGGTCCCTTCATGGATAGTATTTTTATTTTTTATTTTTGTGGAACTATGTAATATTATGAACTAAGGAGACAGAAAGACAATAGATCAGAAAAGAAGAGTACCTCTAAGGGGGGAAAAAATGAATGCAGACTTTTATTTGATAAAAGAGAACTGAAAGAGAATATTATTTTCCTACCATAAATGTAGCTGTTCCCTCACAGGATAATGTGGAATTCCAGTGTGGATTATGGATTTCTTCCAACTTTCACTGACATCGCTTCTTACCAGACTCAGGGAAGGGTCTGCCTTCCCCGAAAGGGGAGGTGGGCCCTGTCCTTGCAGACAAAGCTTGTACAAATTCCTGAACTGCAGAGTTGCTAAAGTGACTGTATATACTTATATTCATAATTTAAATGATTAATTCTGGTCAGATAAATGTTGTTAAATTTGAAAATGTTTTATTACATTATATCAAATAAAGCTTATTTATAGCTGTAATAAAGTAATAAGTAATGATTTTTAATTGAAGGTCTGATGTCATAAATGTTATATATAGAATAGCAGAGGGCAAGCTTTATATATTTGCTAAACCCTACAGGTAGTAAGATAGTTCTGTAATTAATTTCATTTCACTTTGAAGATTCATCCGTTTTGTAACTTTTTTTTTAAAAAAGAATGAGTGTCCATATCTTGATTTGATTCATGAGGGTTTATTGAGCTCCTACATTCAGCACTGAACATTGAAGAAACAAAGACAGGTAAAGCAAGTTCTTACTTTTAAGGAAGTTGCTTTCAGGTAGAAGGGGGACATTTCTCAGATTTTCATCATATAATAAGTGCCGTTAGTTGCAGAGAGTGACAGGTTTTTTTTTCCTGTCCACAAGACAGGGCATTATGGTTAATTGGTTTGATTCAGGTTTTCAAATGTGTTTGTTTAATTTTTTTACTAGGACCTTAGTTATTCAAATTGGCTCTTTATCCCACCTGACTTGAACACCTGATTCTTGAACTCTGCTTCATTCTGGTTTCAGGGACTGGACACTGCACACTGTGCTTCACATGTATGGCAGCCAAATGAAAAGGTAGAAATTGAGAAAAAGATCGAAGAGTTTATAATACTACTTCACATGTGGCATAAATTGTGCAAAGGTACAACTTTTGTTTTAACTAAGAATTGAGAAAATCACTGAAATAAACATTTTGCATATATTTTACGACAGTTCAACAAGAATGACTATTATGACTAATCTCTCTTCTCACTCTAGGGTGTCAGCCGTCATTCTGGAAAGGCTGAGTATTGGGAAACCATGCTTGGGGAGTAAAGTACTTGTAAGAGATAATAACTGTTGCCTTAGTGTTTAGTTTTATTCTGTAAATATTAAATGGGAGGCACTCATAGAATTCCTGGGCTTTCTGGAAACTTTCATAATTCGTAAAACGTTTGCCCTAGTGCCATGTGCCTGAGATGTCTGTATATGTTTTTGATTTTTATATTTTCATGCAATTTTATTAGATTCATTGATTGCATGTATGAGATCAACAATAAAGATAGAAAATCTAGGCAATTTTTCAAATAGTTTATGCTAATATAACAATTATCTGAATTGCCATCTGGAAATGATGGGAATTTTCCTTTCATCATTTTGGTTGTCAACTGAGTCCAATGGATATAACCGTTTACAAATCCTGCATTTTTATTATTTTATTTTATTTCTAGGCGAGGCAAACCTTGGTCGACCTCATAGATTGCAAGGACCTTGTCAGCTTACAATCCCTTACTTTTTACTCCAAATCTTGCATTTTAAAACTGTCCATGCACCTTCCCATCTCAGGACCTTTACATATGCTTTCCCATTCTGTCTGGAATATTTTTCCTGTTCTCAATTTTTTATTTAATATATGTCTTCCTCATTGTTTAGTAATTCTTCACGGGCAGGAACCATGTCTGATTCTCTCACCAATATGCCCAGGACCTAGCACTACACTTGGAACATATATAGTAGGCAGATCGTAAATATCTTTTAATAGGAAGGGAGGGAGCAAAGGAAGGACTTGGAAAGGGAGAGAGGAAGGCCAGAGTTGACTTGGCCCCCTTTTTTAATTTTCAGGGGAGGACATTAAAGAGACCTGGAGTGATTGAGCGACACTTGCAATGAGTGGGAGAGAAGGAGCTGGAATTAAGTTCTCCTGTGCACACCTTAGGGCAGGCCCTCTGCTCCACGGTGCTGCCGCTTTTGCGTGAGTTTCTCATATCAAGAGAGCGACCTTTTCTTAATTTTCTGCACTAGTGGAGCAGAGCGGTGTATGTGTTATGGCCCATATGTTGAAACTTGTTTATCTACAGCTAGCCGGATGGTCCCTAACAGCACACAAAGAAACCAGTCGGAAACTTTCAGAGGGTCAGTACATTTTGAAAGCACTGGGAGTTGTGCATATTGTGATGTCATTCCTTACTTGTTGTAAGCACTGTAAATCAAAAAAGGGAGACCTTGTTAGATATTATGTGTGAATCATGCAGGCCCTGAGCAACAACTCAAGGGTTCCAGTTCCTAGAGACAGAGTTTATTTAGTGAGATCTTTCTTTAAACTTGTTTTGTCTATACTTTCTCTGGAGGAGGAAAGTAATTTCTTAACTTAAAATACTTTGATTTTCAAGCTCCTGCTGGCTAAATAAAAATTTAAAAAGCAACAACAACAACCCTGCTCTGGCAGTACAAGCAACAGAAATGTGATGTGATCATCAATAAAAATGTAAAAGCAAAATCTGAAGCAGAAAGTGATGGAGGTTGACAGCTGTTAGATATAGACTTGAAGATGACAGTTATGTTAGGCATTTGGCATTTTAAAAAAAAGCTGAATTGGAGGAATTAAGACATCTTGTAACTATAGCTCCTTGGACACATGCATGAAATCTTAGATTATATTCAAACTATAGAACTTATGCTCAGAGATCATGGAACAAGAGTAAGATAATGGATAAGGAATGTTCAAGATACTGTAAAGCAATGAAAGCCTAATTCATGATTCTTCTATAAATTTCATTGATTTATCCATTCATTCATTCAAACAAATATCTATTAATATATCAGAGACTCTAAAACACTAGAACTCAGGGGTGAGTAAGAAATAATCAATTCTCATGAAGCTAAAAGTTTAGCAAAGAATCTGAATGTTACACAATGATTATAATAAAATGTATGTATTATAAGGCAAGCACAAGAAGGTTCAGAAAGAAATACTTCAGTATATTGATATAAATATTTAAAACTCAGTGTAGG